CAGCTGAAAAAAGGCCCGGAGGAGAAGCCCCCAGCCCCGCCACCCCCGTTTCCCCCCCCCCATGGCCAAGAGCCAGGCGCTGGGAGAACCCCGGGGCAGAGGGAGGGTGCAAGGAGGGGATCTCGGGAGGATCCCGTGTCCAAAATCAGGGGGGAGCTGTGAGGGTCTGGGCTTCAGATGCCTGTTTTGGCGCCTCAGCAGAGCCCTGTGCCTGGGGGACCTCCCCTGGCTTTGCCTTCTCATCTGCGGGCAGAGATGGGACCTTCAAGGATCCCCTTGCCTGATCCTTCCACAGTTATCAGTAGGGGTGGCATCAGGCCCTTTCCTATCAGGTTTCTTGAAACCCTAATACTGTACGTATTTCTGCCGTGTTCACCCTATCCAGGTTTCAATGTGTTTTGTGTTGTTGATATTCTTTTACCCTTGTATTCCTTTTATACTTTTTTGTATTTGTAGACTCACAGTTCTTAGCTTTAAATACAAAAGAAGTTCGCTGCAAAAGGATTAGCTGGTGCGTGTTGTCAAAAGTGAATGCCGCTAGAAGTAGAGGGTATGGATCCGAATGTGGAATGGTTCACAAGAGTGGAACAGCAAATGAGTGAGCTTTGACGATGCTGTCGTGAAATTTGTAAAGAAGATAAATTTTCAAAGCAGACCACAATAACATGATTCTTCTCGAAAGCTACAGCCAGATCCCCTGCCTCTAGAAGCACTTCCACTTTGTCGCCATCATCTCCCTTATCCAGACCCTTCACTTCTGATAACTCCGATGATTAGATGACGTCAAACCATTACACTTCGAAGGATCCAATGACTAATTTTTTGTACAGTATATAATTTTATAATTTTGGCTGACAGTATTGTTGTGTTCCGTAATATGTACTGTACTTAATGCAAATTAAAAGTTATCAAGTTGGAGTTTCCTTTATTCCTATTCAGAATAAAATGGATTATGCCAGATTTATATTATTGTGCTGTGTCCTGTATGTTTTTTGTATGACTAGAATTACAGTACTATATTCTACTGTGGTGTTATGTGATATCTATTGAAAAATACAGTGCCATGACACACCACAAGATAACTGCTTTTAAGCTCCTTGCTTATCGACCAATTCGCTTAATGACCTAGTCGTAAGACCGGAACTCTGTCATTACATGAGGATCGCCTGTATACCCAATGGAAGACACCCAGGGCCTAATCTCAAAAATATATGTTATGTTGATTACTCATAACTTACATTGAAGAGAGTAGAAAAGCTTGTTGGGGGGGGAGATCTTGACTGTGTAATTTCTGATTAAATAAAGGACTTCCTTCGTACAAAAAAAGTCCTACAAAATCTATCTCTGTTAATATTCTTAAGCACAGTGTTAAATCACAGCATCAATGATGTTTAATGCCCCCCCAACCTAAATTATGTGAACAAGGAGATGAACCCAATGTGCTGGAGAAAGTCTTTCATGGAAAAGCTGTAGCGTCGAATTCCAAGCTTAAGCAAGTCACTCATGCAATATCTGCTTTTTTGAATTTGTTATCCACTTATTAAATCTGTAAACAATAGTATATCTACCCCTCAATTGCATACCTCTTGCACCACATGCCTCTTTGTGAGAATTATATGTTTATCTACTTTCCCATCCCTTTATTCCTACTTAAACCTGATGCCTTCTTATTTTCCTCTCTTAACACCCTTTTGCTGGGACCCATACCTGTTATTCAATGTATTCACTACACTTCCATTGTTGTTGATCTTTTGTTTCACCTGCTAAAACTTTAATAAAGAAATGAACAAAGTGTGAGGCTTTACAATTTATCTGAAGAATTTCAGTAGTGGAATTAGTTCCTTTATATGAGCCTAAATGTCATGGGATTTCAAATCTCAGAACACAATAGGACCCCCATAGCTGCTGGAGATTGATTCCAAGTCCCACAGTGGATACTGAAAATTGTGCATAATAGTTAACACAATACGATCTATATATAGCATGATAAAAGGAATATATATACTATAGTACTGTATAGTATATACAGCATGGTAAAAGGGGGGGGGAGGAAAACATTTTCATGTGCATTACCAGACCTGGCCAATAGAGGGCACCAGGGACCATGCTATATCCTTAACTAACAAGTATTCATAGCACGGTCTCTTGCTTCCTCTACTGGTCTGTTCTGGTAACACGTGAGAATAGGTTTTTCCCCTTGTATTCGCGAAGGCTTTCACAGCTGGGGACCATGCTATATCCTTAACTAACAAGTATTCATAGCACGGTCTCTTGCTTCCTCTACTGGTCTGTTCTGGTAACACGTGAGAATAGGTTTTTCCCCTTGTATTCGCGAAGGCTTTCACAGCTGGGATCTAATGGTTGTTGTGGGTTTTTCAGGCTCTTTGGCCGTGTTGTGAAGGAATTAAAATACTAATAGTAGCCTGCTTTAATGAAAGTGGAAACCAGTTTGCTACCTAAAACCGCACGATTTGATGCTCTTATGAAGATGCCCATGGCCACAGAGATTGGCGAAACGTTAGGAAGAACAACCTTCAGAACACGTCCAAAGAGCCCGAAAAACCCACAACGACCAGGTTTTTTTCTGTTTTTTAAATCTTTTAATATTTAGTATATTTTCAGACCCTAAGTGAAACTGTGGAAACTGATCCCGAGGATACAGGGGTCCTACTGTCATTTCTGTTAACATTTTTTTTGCAACTGTGACGACCCCAGCCTTCTTAAATGGATAATGTTCAATCCATCACGTAAAAAACACACACTATAGTAAGGCAATAATTGTAAACCAGACAAGGATCTCATTAAATGAAATCTATGTGATGGTTCTTCTCAGATTTTACACACTTGTAGGGCCCATCTGCCCAGTGTGGATTCTCTTTTAACGGCAGAAAAATGCACTGTCCCTCAAACTAGAACACTCCGGGGGGAT